CCCTACAAATGCGCAATGAAACCATCTGTTGACATGGAAATCTTTCATCTCTGTGACGCTTCGTGTACAGATCCCTGATGTGATATTCCCACCCAGCCAGGCTCCTCCAGCCTTGCTCCAGTGTGGGCACCAGAATGCAGCTCTTGAACTCCACTACCGAAATCCTGTTTTCATCCATACCAGTAGGAATGAAGTCCATGGGCACAGGAGTGCCCAGCTGCTATAAAGAAGATCAGAATCAGCCTTTTTCTTAAATTTGAAACCCAAATACCCTGTCACCATACATTACAGTTGCCTTAAAGCCAACCCAATATCTTTTTTTCTATTATTCCGTGAAAATCTGCTGTTATGAGCGGAGAGAGTCACCACGACCGAACTCAAAGACGCTGCTTTCCAAACACCGTGTTCCGGTGGCAGCGTGAAAGCCTTCCCTTGGGATGCCGTCCCTTCCCGAAGGTTTCCAGGGGAAATATGGTGCCGTGTGACATGGTCTGGTTCTCTTCTATGCAAAGCTACCCTGAGCCCCATCAGTTCAACGTCCCTCCGCATCCCGCCTGCACGGAGCAGAGCACGGAGGAGGGAAGGTGCTCCGCGCTGCTCTGCTCGTAGCATTTGTTTTTACTTTGTGGTGCGGGAAAGAAACACTTCCACGTTATTTTGCAATAGAAATTTGAGTAATGAAAGCTACGAATATAACAAAGTTTTGGAACTGACATTCACAGAGGTTTACTAATTTTTGTTTTATTTTAATAGGACATGGAGAACAGTTTTGAAGGTTTTTAATCCCTATAAATTATGGTTTCTAATGAAAAGGACAGTATCTCCAGTAGTTTTTAAATGAATACCCTAAACTTCTATCCACATCATATTCTTTGACTTATTAAAAATTGTCTAATTTATACTCATTTTATAAAGTAGCAATTATATCTTAAGCACGAAGGCTAACATTTTCATGCTTTTTCTTTTGAGTTTCCTATATGTTACCAAATAGCAAATTCTGCTGCTGCTGCCTCCTGTGTCCATATCGCTTACAGGATCTTTTCCCGTATGTCTTAGGTAGGATTGCAATTACGGACTCTCCTCTGGATTAAACTCTATACTAACACTTTTGGGCAGCAAACAGGCTGCTGTCCGTGTGTGCCTCAAGGACAGCAGGAGCTCACCAAGGCTGGGGATAGCCAAACACCTCAGTGGTTCTAAGGCCCACACTCATGAAAGGAGCCTGACATGTTCATCTTTTAATGGCAAGAAGAATGTAATGGAAAGACTGTAGTAACTCTAATTCATCAGTTCTTTTTTGTAATGAAAAATTAGCAGCTCTCCAGAAGTGACAACATATGAAGTTACTGTGGCAAAATGGTTTGTAAGCTGGATATATCGTAAGGTGTGTACATTGTGAGGAAAATGTCAAAGTTACTGTATGTGACTGTTGTTTCATATTAAACCACTGTATAATAAAACACTGTGCACTAACTCCATCTACAGGTCATTATAATAGTGACACACCATATAATTTTTAAACATTAGTGCAATGCATTTTAATTCACACATTAAAAATGCACATGCATACATTTATATATATATATATATTTGCCTGTGTGTGTTAGATATGTATATAACTAAACATGTTTTCACAAAATTCTTGAGGTAGGCCAGATGAAGTATCTAATGAGTAGTTCAAATTCTCACTTTTCTCAATATATTAGCAAAATAAAAGCTTTTTTTTTAAAAAAATAGTGTTTATTCAACGTGCCAATCAAGCTACATAAATCCCCTGCCACCCCTCCTATTGCATTAGGAGAGCCCTTGTGCAGGTGGCCCCTGCGCCCTCCACTCTATTTAAATTCTGCCGGGCAGCCAGGAGATAAGCGCAGCTGGGCTGCTAATGCAGAGGGAGACACGATGATTGCCATGAAGGTACAAACCCACCCTTCAGCGAGCACTAGTGACACTCCAAACCCTTTCGTGCTGCTTTGTGGTCATTAGGTAACATCATTACCACATCAGTAATATTTTTTAAATATGGAAAAGTATCTGTGAGCTTTCTCAGTATTTACTAAATACTGAATCAGACTGGAGTCTACCTGGAATAAAGCACTCACTTTGAGTGCTTTATTACAGGTAGACTCCAGTCTGTTTCAGAGTGCTTAGTTCACCTGCTAGTTATCAAATGGAGTGTTGTATGATTAACAATTGCTCCTGACACTAGTACCCATCTTCAGTCAGGAGTTCAACATCTTTTCTGTACAGATTTGGTGCAAGATGATCTTTTAAACAGGGGAACTATTACAGGCTTTCTGCCTACAAATTCATCTCCAGACAAGAAGCCACCTTCCTTGGAAGGGCTCCTTCAGCTTTACAAGGACAGGGACTAAGTTTGGACCCAATCCCAACTGAACTGCAAAGTTAAAGTTTCACCTCTGCTTTCAGGGAAAATATGGTTAGTAAGGAGCACTTAAATAAATAAATAAATAAATAAATCCCACTTAATTGCACTTTTTTCCTCTCAGGAACTGGCATTCCATTTGAAATATTGAATGAACTGAACAGTCACTATGGAGAGTTGAAAGGATTGCATAGGTGTTTCAAAAGTAGCTTAGTTTTAATTTGTTTCAGAAAGCTTTTGTTCTCTTCGCAATATTGAAAAAAAATGTTATGCAAACAAACTGTAGTTTTCTTTCAATCTTCTCTTATTCAGATTTATCTGGGATTTGAACAGGGATTAACTTTCCCCAATACACTCAGTAGTAGTGCAGCCTATGCAATACTTCTGTCTTACACTGCTGTATTAAATTAAAGGTTCCCAAAATATATTGATGCATCGAAACACATCTCCCCCACCTTCTCTCAGTCAGTGCGTTCAGGAGGAGGCTCCAGGCCCACAGGCAGTCGCAAAGCACCACGAGTCTCTTCATGGTGGGCTCTGAAACTATAAGGAGAATAACCATCAGTGCTCCCTACATTAAAGCAGGCACTGGAGGAGCAAGCAGCCGGATTTAGGCCCGATTTAGGTGAATTTTCAGCACGCTCTGATGCGGGGCACTGACCTCACCGCCCTCCTGCTCATGTCACTGGAGCCACAGCAGCGTGGCCTGCTCTGCTCCCTGCCTGGGGAGCGCTGAGGCCCGCTCGGTGGGAAGGGGCCTGTTCACCTGCATCGCTGCAAGCTTCAGCAAGGACGACTACGAGCTAAGGCTGCTGTCCCCAAGTTCGGTGGGAATCCCTGCTCCTTTCCCTCCTGCAATGAAGAGCACAGCCGGGGGGTACATGGCGTTTCCCAATAACCAAGTGCAATTTGCTTTTTGCTTGGCCTGGCCCGAGTCCTTGCAGCCCTGGGGATGTCCCTGCGGGGCGGCCGCCTGCGCCCGGCTCCCCTCGCAGCCCAGCTGCTCCTCAACGTGGCTGGAGCAACTTTCTCTTCCAGACGTTGCTCTTCCTACCTGGAACACTCAGGTCTCGGAGCATCTGTAAGGATCAGATCCCCATTCTACTGCTAAATATGTGCATGACTATTTTTGTCAGGCTAAAGGGCACAATTTATAATGAAGCCATGTGCTGATAACCTGCACACCATCTCCTAAATCTCTGCCAGGCTCCCATAGCTTCTAGGGAGCGTTTTTCCACTAGCAACCTCTTCCTCTTCTCTCCACACGCTCCAAGCTTCATTGAGTTACTTTCACTTTACCGTTGTGTAAAAAGTAACAGGGCAGACTTTTCCCCCCCTTTCCAATAAGCCATAAAATACAAAGTTTAGCTGAGGTTTGTGGAATCAGTGTTTCAGATTCAACTGACTTCTCAGGTGATGCTGCAAGTCCCTTTACACATCTATACGTGCTGGAATACAGTCGATTTCTAGCATCTACTACATTAAATAGGGAAAATAAGCCCCCCTCAAGCCTTGTCCTTACCCCCAGAAGATAACTGGGGTCCTTGAAAGCGCCCGGGGAAGGGCGGCACTGCACATTCCCCCGGTGTGACACACTTGAGAACATCTTCCCCCATTCACCGCTCACTCTCAGGGACCATTTAAAGACAGAAATGTCCATCGTAAAACGGCGGAACCGCCCCGGGAAGCGCCGGGGGCAGCGGCCGGCGGGGCCGCGCGCGGAGCGGGGG